ATGACTACTTAAGGTGATGCAAACTAGTTTCGCCTCACCAATGTTGAATTTATGTAGGATTTTCTCAATATACTCTATCTGAAGCAACTTTAGTATATATGATTCTCATCCCGAGAATCTTCTAGTTGGACTTAAATCTTTCATCTTAATCTCACTTGATAATTGTCCTTTTAGTTTCTAATTTTCTTCATATTTGCCCATGCAATTAGCATGTAAGAAAGTATAACAATTGTTGAAGTTATTGATGAAACGACAGTGGTTTGCCTGACATTTCATGTGCCCATTATCTGACATTAACTTGTCAAACCTTCTCTATTACTGTCTTGCAACCTGCTTTAAGCCAAAGAAAATTTTCTTCAACCTGCATACCAAACCTTCTTTCTTTGGAACCTTGTAACCCTGTGGTTGGACCATGTATAGTTCCTCTTCTAGATCTCCATATACGAAGCTTAACATAACTCTAACAATTTCCTTCACCATAGGAGGAAAAATCTCAATATAATCAATTCATTCCTTCTGCTGAAATGCCTTCACAACAAGCTTTGCTTTGTAGTGTTTGTTATCATCGGATTCTTCTTTCAGCTTGTAGATCCACTTGTTGTGTAGTACTTTTTTGTTATCTGATAATAACATCAAATTTCATGTCTGATTTGACCTTAAGAACTGATCCAATCATCCATGACAAACTCCCACTCTTTTGAATCTTCAACTTGAATGACCTTTTAATTACTTTGGATCACCGCTATCTGTTAGAGACTAATAATACAAAGAAGCAACATACCAACGTCGGTCGAGTAGCTCTGCTGAATCTCTTAAATTTAGTAGTATGTAACTGAGGAACTTTTTGTGTTTCATTATGTTCCATCTCAAAATACTTGTCCTCTTCAGAAGTAATTGATAGACAATCCTGAGTGCTGATCTTATCTTTGTACATTTTCATTTCATTGAAATAACATCTTTGCTCTTAATGAACTTTTGATTTTAATAGTCACATAATTTTTACTTAAATTCATTTGAGCCATACCCAATGAAATTGTACTTGATAGATTTCGAGTCAAGTTTACTCCCTGCAGCAATATGTACATATGCAGAATAATCAAATATCTTTAGAGGTATAGATTTACATCTTTGTGACTCTAGGCTTTTTCAAGTAAGTCTTTCTTCAAAAGTACTGACGAACCACATTTGACTAGATACACCGTAGCGTTCACTGTTTCTGCCCAAAATTATCTTCGCAAATATGTATGCAATTTCATGCTTCTGACATGCTCCTTAATGGTTCTCTTCATACGATTAACTATTCTATCCTGCTGTGGAGCTCTTGGAACAGTGAACTCATGTCCGATCCCCTCTGAAGCATAGGAATTTCTGAACCTCTGATCACGATGCTCGCCCCTATCATATGATCCGAGACACTTCAGCTTCAATTCTGTCTCATTTTCACCTTCCACTTAATACTTCAAATACGTCAGATTTTAACTTTAAGAAATAAATTCATACATTTTATGTGTGATTGTCAATAAATATGACAAGATATTGTGAACCTCCAATAGATTGAACTGGAGTAGAACCTTATTCATCAGTATGCACTAACTTTTAGTTTCTTTAACTTCACCTTTGACCCACCTTTGGAGAAAGAAATTTTATTCTACTTGTTATGCACATTCTTCACAAAAAATTAAATTTATAGATTTCAATTCTTGAAGTTTTTTTTTTGATAGTAGAGACTTCATTTATTTCTCAATCATATGTTCAAGCTTGCGATTCCACAAACATGTATCCATTTTGGTTCCAGTCACATCAATAAAATTCATAATTTCATTGATCAGATAAAGAATGTCTTCAATGTTATCCCGAGCCATCACCATAGCCCCTTGATCATCTTTCATGAGTCACCTGTAAAATTAAACACATACCATGACTTTGCCAGCTGGCTCACAGAGATCGAATTTCTTTCCAAACATGGAACATGTCTGACTTTACCGAGCTTTCATATTTCTGTCATGTATTTCTGTCTAGATTTCTTTCCTTGTTATTAACATTCAACATTTAATTTGAATATTTATCGTTCACTGCCACACCAATCGTACAATGCCATCGTTATTCAACTTAATATTCCCAGATGAGTTACTCACCGTCGTGACCAATGCATCTCAGTTATCAAACAATAAATATAGAATTAGCAGTGTTCTGACGTCGTCATCAAATTTGATCTCGATAGAATACAACTGGCTAGTTACAGTATTGAAATTGTTCATGTGTTTAGCCTTTGGACTGTCTTTCGCCATCTCGTATTGAATATACTCTTCATTGAAAAAATCTTACTTGAAGTAGAAGATTTTTTATACATTTTTGTCAATGCCATCACGAGATCCACCGTAGTTCTCTCATTCATTGTATTGAATGTAATGGACGATGAAAATGACAAATGGATGAAATGTAGGGTCATTTGATCAAACACTTCTCATTTCTCCATAGTTATCGATTCAGCCCTATTGGTGAATCTTTATAGTGGCAAATATAATTTTTTTATACAGCGAATCCTCAACTTGCATCCTCTAGAGCACAAAGTTCAATTCATTGAATTTCTTCACTTTGTACCTTATTTCATTGATCTTGCTCCCACTCAAATCAAACATTTGATTTGATGGAATTTACACTGAGGGGTTTTGATTGGTTCATAATCAAAATCACATCGCTGAAAATAGGAACGACAAATTCAGAAATTTGAAACAAAAGAATTCAAACAGAAGCATAACAAAGTATCTAAAAAAATACACCAGATCTCGTATTTAAAACTATCTTAGCTATGGGATTTTGCCAATTAATTTGGTGTATTTTAGAGAGTTTACTTTGCGACACAAACTCCATTGTGGTAATTTGTAGATTACTCTAAATTTATATTCAGATGCTTTTAATGAGCGTTAAATGTTAAATTCATTGGAGCTGAATTTGTCTAAGCCAAGAAGATCAGATGAAAATCTTCCTGTTTCATTGGATGCATCACATTAAGCACTAATTTGTGTAAATTAATTTTAATTCTCATTTATCAGTTTAATTTATTTGCTATTTCTGTTTTGAGGGCATGTTAGTGATGATTACTTGGAGTTTGCCTGTAAATTTTTTATGTCATTTTGTGGGTTTAGGATAGTTTATTTCGTTTGCTTAAGTTTAGTTTAGCGTAGGTTAATTTTTGCAAAAGATTGAGAAGGTTATGGTAGATTGCATTATTTCTTCGTGTCTGTTGGAGTATTATAAGTTTGGGCGGTATTGGATTGTTGTTGCATTTGCTATCAAACTGTGATTTGGAATTATTCATTATAAAAAGAAAAGAGGTCATCAATTGCAGTGTGCGGCATGATTTGCAGGAGCCATTTTCGATTTATATTATGCTTGTGGGTTAATATAGCAGGCAAGCTATGGGTGAGTGATTATTGATTGGCTGTTTTTCTTTTGTGCTTTCCTCTTATGGTGGTGGGTGTAAGATTGATTTGGTTGTGTTGGACATTTTAAATTACCTCAAGAATAATTTTTTATTGGGTGAGATTAATTTTGAACTTAAATATTTTTATTAATTTTGTGATGAACTTATCTAGTAGTTGAAGTTTTTGTGTAATTCCCGAATTATGGCTTTGTTAGATGTGTTATTTTCTGAAGTGCAATACTTGTGGAACTTTATTTTTTGGTCAAGTCATTTCCTTATAATGGTGTGAGGCTTGATTTTTCATGGTTTGTTATATATATTCATTTATTATCCTATTGCATCTTACATATTTTGCTGTCAGCTTATTTATTGGTCTTGATTTTGATAAAAAAATTGTCAAAACTGTTTTTTTTTAAATTAATTAACATTGTTTGTTGGTTTTGTTTATTTCAAATTCTTATTCAAATTCTTTAAAATTTACAAGCATTGCATTCGATTGGGTCTTAAATTTTTGTAATTGCAAATTTTCTTTTAAAGAAAGTAAATTGTCGTATTAGTTTGTAACTTTTGATTGATGAAACCTCAATTTTCCTTCACTTGATAACATATCATGTATCTTATTTGTTGCATAAGAAAACTCTAATCTTGTATTGTCTGCATCACATAATTTATTCGCTAGAACAGCCATCACTGTATTTATTCCTAATATTTCCATTACTACTATATTGTTTTTGTCAACGCAGCTCCTCCCTTTGCTATTGAAATTGCATGATATCTTTGTTACTCTTGCTACTACAATTGTATTAAAGTGCCAACTACTTTCATTTGGTTGAGTGTATTTCTTTTGATCTCTGAAGTGGAGGTCTAAGGTTTCTAATTCCTTACACACTAATTTGCGAGTACATCTAATTTTTTTTTGGTAGTTTTATGATGTCATTGTTTCCACAAGACCCTGGTTATGAACTTGATGGCATCTGCATGATATTTGCAGTATTGACAGCTTATCAACTTTGTGCAAGCATTTTATCTAGATACATTCTTCAAAAAAGACTCATTTGTCAGAAGTTTCTTAACTCTTATATGAACATTGAAATGGTTTGTTTGAGATATCATATCTGATTTTCTTGAATAAAATTATTTGTGCTGAGATTTTTTTCATCATATTGAAAAGTAAAATGATCTTTCTAAGGAAACATTAAGGTAATAGGTTAATAAGCTTCTAATAGTGTTAAAATGATGCAATTATGAGCCCGCAAGTGTTTGATTTTACATGATTACACCATAGTTGCATTAATGAGTTTTTATTCAAGTTGAATGATGCAACCTTGTTTGTGACCTTTTATCCCCAACTCTTATAATGCTTTCCTCAAAATAAGTTGAATGATGCCACCTTTTTTTATGATTATTGACGTTGACTATTGAACTATATATTGGTCTAATCGCATCTTGAAATCCATGCTTTACTCTAATTAATTTCCCCCTCGCTTGTCTGATTATGTTAGAAACCCAAATCCCTCACCCTACAAACCTTGATTATTCCTGATACTATTTCTGACTATTTTCATATTAATCACAGATGGAGACATTCAAAAGACATCTGATCCAGTCTCTGAATGATGATTACTCTTCTGTAAGTTTCGATAATTGATTACTTGCTAATATCTTTGGCAATTATGTATTCATTTGCATATATATATGGCAAGGTAAAGATTTTGATTGAATGTGATACGATTCTCCTTTCTTTTATATGTTCTGATTGCAGACGGAAACTGTGGATATAGGAACCTGCGATCAGTCTCTTACTAAAACTGCCATTTTGAAAGGTACTTTCTTCTCTGATGCAACATAAATACATTTATGATTTTTTGAATTGGTTTTGGATAATATTTATCTCGTTCTTCTTTTGGGATGCTTATGCTTTGAAGATGGTGCGTCTACTGGCCTCGTTACACTAAATCCAGACGGTATTGATAATCTGACCGAGCGCTTGCTTTATATGCATTTCCTGATAGAATCATAACCTGATAGAACAATCATAATTGGACGAAATGCAGGAAAGTTCATTTCATCTTATATCACTCCTAGGATCACGCCTGGCACATCGAAGGTACAATCAACCATTGGTTCTCCAAAACAATTTTCGACCGGAGCATCGCCGAGAAGGACATCTGGTGCAACTTCCCCCTCAAAATCACGTGCTCAAGTATACACTTCAGCGTCACCATGGTACCCATCAAGCATGCAGTCATCTGCAGCCAACTCTCCTCCCAAAGGACGTTCTTTACCAGGTTCTAAATCTCAGCAATGCTTTTAAAAACATTTATTTTCAATACATTTCAAACTATATTTATCATTTTTATTGATATTAGCTATGTTTAACATTATTCTTAATTTTGCTATTTGAAACGAGTAAAGAGTAATCATGAATGCAATTGTGAATTTTCAGGGCGCACTCGGGTAGATGGCAAGGAGTTCTTCCGCCTAGCCAAGTGAGTACATGCTTCCGTACATTTAATAGTATCAGATGCATGTTGCTGCCATGACTACGGTTTGTCTTTGAACACACATTTCAGGAATCGTCTCTCCTATGAGCAATTTGCCGCATTTTTAGCCAATATCAAAGAACTAAATGCCCAGAGACAATCACGAGAGGTTTGTACCGGTCTCTTCGCATCATTCATTTATTTGATTAATTAGTTCTTTTCTTAAGGATTTGGCATTATTTCTTAATGATTTGATGAACTTTTGAAGGAAACTTCGAAGAAGGCTGAAGAAATTTTTGGAGTAGAAAACAAAGATCTTTTTCTTCTTTTCCAGGGTTTGCTCAATCGTAACACGTCTTACATGGTGTCATAGCCCTCTTATTTTATCTTAGGTTGTAATTTTAATCATAAAATTTTTTGACTGTGGGGAATGTTTCGGACACGTTGCATGAAAGTTGGCTGTGGAGATTGTATGGGCAATTAGATGATGAAAAGAAAACTTGGACACTTAGCCCTAGCATCTTAATATGTTCGTTTATTGTGAAGTCAGTTTCAGAAATGCTTTTTATCTGGGTGAATTGCTAGGCTGTTAAGGATAGGGGTGTAGATGAGTTGAATTGAGCTCAAGTCAGCCCATCTTGAGTTTGATGGATTATTTAATTGCTCTCGAGCTTGAACTTTAATTCGACGGGTCTGAGTCAATTCTTAATCGTATGAGTTTGAGCCAACTCTTAATCGTACGAGTGAGCCAACTTTTAATTCTACCGGTTCGAGCTGGATTGTTTCTCTTGAAAAAAAAATAATATTAATTCAAATTAGTGTTTTAATAAAATGATAAATAGAATAAGTAATTATGAGATTAATAATAAGAATTTATTTGATATATAATATAAAATATAAAATATCAGTCTTATTTTATAATATGAAGATCAAATTTAAAATTTTAATATGTTTTAAATGTATTTATATTAATGTTTTTTCGAAGCGTAGCTTGCGCTTATTTGTTAGTTTATAGAGCGTAATTCATGTCAATTACTGAGCTTGGCCCATGGCAGCTCACAACTGAGCTTGGCTTGGTTATGCCCCTAGTTGAGAATGGTGAGTTGCGTCCTCTAGCCAGAGATCTTTTTTATAATTTCGGGAAGCAACTGGCGGCATTTGGAGATGTGAAGCAACAGGAATATGGGAAAACAGGTGTCAAGAATCTGATATCCAGCCTATAAAGGCTATACGCAGCGTTGATTCAAATTCATTTGATTTGATTTCGAGTTGAGCTATGTTTGCAATATTCTTACTTGTTCTGATCTCAAGTTGAACTAAGCTCATCCAGTTTTTATATTGATTCACATGCAAACCATATAATTCTTATGCATTTGTATTAGTTCACTTCTAAATTGTGAATATTAGTTGTATTTTAATGTGGGGTTCTTACATGCATACCATTCAATTCTTATGCATTTACCTATCTATCACCTAAATTTTACCTTTTATATTTATACCATCAAAATTGTAAAGTACAAAAATGACATCACGAATCCCAAAAGAAACGTGCGTCCAGGATTGGAGAGCCAGGTGATTGAAGTTCTAGGCTAAAGAACAAAAAGCTTTCGACTAACAAAAGCTTTCGATTTAGAGATCATTGACCAAAGGATTTCTTGCTAGAATTGAATAGTTTCCTTGGATCGGTCGGCCGGTCACCTTGACTAAATCGATTAATTCAATCAATCAGCATAACCAACTAAATCGGGGCATCTGACGGCCAATAGACATTTTATTTCTTTGTATTATAACATAATTTTTATTCAACAGAATTCAGTTATTTGGACGGTTATTGTAACTATTTATTCCTTTTTATAACTGTATTTTTAGACCTTTATAAGTAGGAGGTCACCACATAAATAAAGGGACTTTTCACTTTTTCTGGACTCTCGGGCTCTCTTTTCTCTCATCTCAGTTTTAACTCTAGGGGTGTGTTTATCGAAAGACAATTTAGGATTCAGCATACTTAAAGGTGGTATAGTGAGCGTGTACAGGTGATTGACGAGAAGCTGAGCACATTACCAAGGAGAATCACAGTAGAGGGACTTAGCATTGATGGAGTTCATAAGGGAGTCATTGAATTGAAAGATTTTGCAGCAAGTTCAAAAATTTTGGAGCAGACAGATGATGGGTCAATTTGACACTCTTTCATGGGAATGATCAAACACCGCTTATGGAGGTGTGATCTCGGGAAACTCGTCCTCAAAGGGTTCCCTCAAAGCATCCACCAGCGTCCAACAGATGTATGAGCAATCGGGTGACCGAAGGGCTAAGAGATATCCAGTAAGTGGTCAACACTGGGTCTACATCGATGGTGATGCATCGAGTAGAACGTGTTGAGGCTCCTATTCTGCCACCTCTAGATAGTGCTTTTACTCGAAACATCTTGGAGGCGTACCACCGGTGTAGTTAAAGATTCCTCATTTAGATCCTTACATGGAAAAAAGTGATCCAACCAATCACTTGGTTTCTTTCAAGTCATCAGTCAGAGTACTACAGATAAACGACACGATGAAGTGTTGCATTTTCCTGTTGACACTTAAGGAATTGGCTCTTCGGCAGTTTCTCAATCTATCGGTTAGTATTATTCCAACCTTCGCTGAGTTTAAGAAACATTTTACGGTGCATTTCGCCAATATGCAGAAGTCAAGGATGAAGTCTTAAGCTTTGCTTCAACTAAAGCAAGGAGAAAATGAATACCTATGGGCTTACAGCACTCAATTCAAGAATGAAATGATGGAAATAAAGCACTTACAAATACTGATTTCCCAGACTGCTCTGACGCATGTGGTTAGAGACGGGTGATTCAAGTATGACTCCAAGTCTTTTCCTAAATTGTTGGAGATGAACGAAAATCACATTGGAACCATAATCGTCTGACTATCAGTCGAAGAAGAGGAAGGCACAGGACGAGGACAGAGCCAGGGGATAATTAGAATCTCTCTAGTCGTTTGCATCATAGCAACATCCGTTGAATGTACTAACCAACGTCCGTCTCAGTACTACGAGTGGCCGCACATGTATCATGAAATGCAGGGTTTCACTCCGCCAAAATAGTCCGTGCTTAAACAACAGGGGAAACTAGGTTCAGAATTGATATTCTAACCAATGACTGTCTTAGTACTACAACTGGCTGCACATGTATTATGAGATGTAGGGTTTCACTCCGCCGAATGTCTCGATGGCGGAGTTGGTTGAGCCCATTCAAAATAAGGAGTACTTCATAAAGCTCCTCCGATGAAAGCCGCACGACCTTCTAGAATCTGAAGAAGTATTGTGATTACCTTAGTGATCTCAGGAACGACACAGAGAAGTGTCACCATCTCTGGATCATGGTGGAATAGTTTATCAAGGCTGAGAAGCTCAAGGAAATCATTGTTGTCGGGGGACAAAAATGGTACAAGGAAAAGCCATAACTGAGGAGTCAACCTATGGACCTGTCCGGGCGAACGAGGTTCAAAAATTTTGAAAATTACTTATCCAACTTCTATTGATGAAGTCTCTAAGGAAATTGAGGCGGTGGTTTTTCTAAGTAAACTTAATAGGTCTTTCAGAATCTTTTAGAGCATCCACTTTTGATTCTTCAATTTCTTATCTCTCTACTTCAGTTTCTTTTTGTACCTTACCTTCCAACTCTCTTCAGCTTCTAAGTTGAACGGCTTTTACTTGCTCTTTATTCTAGTATGTAGGCTTTATTTCAATATTACTAGGAAATGTTCCTTTGGATCTATTATTTAATGAATTTGCAATCTATCCAAGTTGATTCTCAATATTTTTAATTAAAGCTCATTGACTTTGTAATTGATTTCTCATTTGTAACACCACTTCTATAGACAACTTCTTCTCCTTAAATTGTGTATTATTGTTGAAACCTCGAGGATAAGTAGATCTATAATTATTATTCCCTTGGTTGTTCCAGTTTCCCAATGGGTTTCCTTGATTGTTCCCCAATTGCTGATTATTACCATCCGTAGTATTATTCTAATTAAAGTTGGAATGGTTCTTCCAACTTGGGTTATAATAGTTTGAATAAGGGTTATTCTGCTTATTATTTATAGAATTCAAAGTTTCTAATGATGCTTGAGAATATATTATTTGTCCTAATGAATTTTCTTCAATCATGGAGATTGGTTGAGAAAAATTCATTCCAATTTGCTTTGAAATTACAGTAACTTGATTTGTCAACATAGTAAATGCATCAGATTCATGAATATTGGCTACTTTCTTATGATTGACCCTTTTAGAAGGCCATTGAAAATTATTGGTAGCCATTTAATCAATTAAAGCATAAGCGTCATGAAATGGTTTTGACATCAACGAACCACCAGCAGTGGCATTGATAATAGATCTAAAAGACCCAGCTAATCCATTATAAAAAGTTTGAATTATCAATCAATCTGGTATAGCCTAATGTGGAAACTTTCTTAAGAGTTCTTTAAATCATTCTTATGCTTCATAAATAGATTCCCCTTCAAAGTGATTAAAAGATGTAATATTATTTCTAAGCTTCGCAATTTTTGATGGTGAAAAATATTTAACAAGGAATGTTTGTGCTAAATCACCCTATGTTATGATAAATCCAGGTGCTAATGAATTCAACCACATCTTAGCTTTATCCCTCAGTGAGAAAGGAAATAACCTAAGTCTTATGACATCATCTGATACACCATCGTATTTAAATGTAGCGCAGAATTCTAGAAAATTGGCAAGATGTAAATTTAGATCTTCAGATGGTGATCCCCTAAACTGATTATTTGATAACATTTGGATAATAAAAGGTTTAAGTTCAAATGATTTAGCCACTACTGTAGGTTTTTGAATACTTCAATGATGTTCATCTACCGTAGGGTTGGCATAATCTCGTAAAGGTCTATATTCTTGATGAATTTCAGTAATTTGATCATTTTGGTTTTCCATTTCTGTAATTTGTTTAGATTTTTCAAAAATTTTAATTTCTTTGCTTTTTTTGATTTTTTTAACAGTTCTCTCTAGATCAGAATCGTAGGGCACTAGTCCTTTAGAACCTGAACTACGCATACACTAACATAAAATAAAATACTATAATAAGATATACTATAATAAGATATTCCATAATAAGATATTCCTACAATAATTTTTAAATTTTAAATAAGACTTTCTAATATTGAAAATTTTGCTTTCAATAATTTTTTTAGATCTTCCTTGGCAACGACACCAAAAACTTGATCCCGTTACTGCTTATATGCGACAGTATAACAATGTCTTTGATGATATTTTTCACTTATGTTTCCTTACTTTATAACAGAACCAAAAACTTGATCCTAGAGAAAATATAAATTTAAATTCTTAATCTATGTACATATTGGGATACTATGCACGTATACATATCATTATCAAGTAACATAGCACTTTTTGATTAAGACCTGAATATCAAACCTACAGGGAAAACAAGCAATATGCACTATTTATCAACAAATTTTCTATTTTAA